AAATATTTGTAGTCTTCAAAATTATTTTTATTGTCTATGTTATGTACTATACATGCCTCTTTCAGGAATTATTAAAGAAGCATGAGTCATACGGCACTCATTTACTCTTGGCTCTTGGCCATCCTCAATATATATTTTGCTATTTTCAAGCCATTTGTAGGTACATATGCATGAAAATACTGTTGTGTCAAGTCCCAAGGTCATAGTTAGCACAACATACATTGTTCATCTGTATATTTACAAAGTTTTAAAGCACATAAAATTGTGCATTATTATGTAGCAAAGTTTAAACTTTAACATACACTTGGTTGCATATATAGCAACAAGTTACAATAAAAATCTGAACAAAGACAACCAATAAACAGCCAAATTGCTATGTACAAACAAGGCAGGAAGCAATTAAACACTGCCTTGCACATTTCACTTAAATTACTTTTTCTCCGAGGGGAAAAAAACAACCCCCCTTCCCCTCCCCCAAGTCCCCAACAACCCTGAACAGTCTTCATGTTTTTCAGTTAAATAACAGGGGGACAAACCCTTCGTGCAGCTCGCATGGCGTTCAGCAGGAGATTCACTTGCATAATATGGGAGTGAAATTTGGTCCCTATTATAAAATGCAGCAGGATATTACGCAGTACATGTTCCCATCACAGTATGACTCGTAACACAGCACCAGGGGCCTGGCCCTCTGCGCCCTCCTCAGACAACAGTCCCGCTGACCTCTGGGGAAATATTCCACGAGATAAGCAGACTTTTGTCTTTTTTGCATGTTTCTTTTTTTATATACCAGCATAATTGTGGTGTTTTTATGCTAATTCCACTGATCCAGGTCCTCGTGTGGTGTTACGCCTCCGGAATGAGTGGAGCTGTGCTGATTTATACTAGGTAATATCTAACTTCAGTGGACTTACTCATCTTGATCTACATTGGTGCAAAAGAACCTGAAATAAGGTCTAAAGACAGCAGGACTGCACCTTTATAAAAACTAAAACACAAAATGCCTGTGCCGTTTAGCTTGAAGTGTGCTTAATAAATTATTAAAGTTCACAGTTGAAAGTAATTAGTGATACACCAATCACTTCCTTTAGATCAATTTCATTATTTTTCAACAAAGAAAATGAAAACAGTAATAAATATTAAAACCCATTCTTCTTATTTGACCAGCAAAATAGGAGGTTTTCCGTAGTCCCGTGTCAGATCAGCTTTGTAACACATTACCCTGTTATAGGATGACTGGGCTAAATCCTGCCTATGATGCTGTGGTGCAAAAAGGCTAAGGAAGCTCTTCTAGCCTCGCTCTTATTTCACCCCGAAAGTGCAGAAGGAGACACAGCGAGCTGGGTCAGAGCTCACGAGGCAGCAGAAACCGCCTGTTTCTGGTGCAGGAGCACCAGCTCTGCGTGCCGGCTCGAGGCAGGATTTAGCCTTACAAATTCTATGTCATGGAATCGAGAGACACATTATACTTACAAATAAAGTCATGCTTGTAAGTATATTTGTACGTTATTCTAGCTATTTTAAGTTTTGCTGTAGTGGAAAAACCAGAGACCCAAACTTGATGAAATCTCTGTTGTCTAAAAATTCAAGGCCCCTTTTCTAAAAATACTTTTTGCTGATGGCGAAGTTCAACACCTCAGAGAAATTCAGAGTGAGTTTCCAAGCTGTATACCATATTTTCAAATACACTATACCCTTGTTGTTTGTAAGGCTGCATTGAAGTTTTACATAACAGTCATGAGCCATGTGTTTAAACACCTTAAAAGAGTTGACCAGCAACTTAATGCATTTCTTTATACCCTGGGGAATTTAAAGATGCACCAACTTTTTCCAAAACACTGGGATTTAAATACTCTAAACATAAATGTTCAGGATAAAATATTCCATCCTCTCCCTCCCCTGTTAGTGGCTGTATTTAAAAATATTTATGCTTCAGCAGTGAAGGATTAATTTATAGATTTCTCTGTGTATGCTCTTACTTCATAGAAAATTTGGTTGTTAATTAATATCTAAAAAAGGCAAAACACCACACGCATGGGAGATGCATGCTGCCAGCCATAGGTTTCTCAAGACAAATTATCCGTGGGCAAACTACCTCTCGGGGAAGCAAGGAACTGTGAGGCTATACCTGCAGCTTACTTCTATCATTCCTAGTGCCAGCACAAACCAGGAAGTTTAGGAACATGGAGATGAGGGTCCATAGCTTATTTGTGGGGGCATAATATGAAAAAAAATGTCTTTTTTTCTGGCCAGGAGAAGAGGCACTCCCTGGAAAACATGGGACAAAAGCTCTGTGGCAAGATTTAAGTTAAGAAAGACTGATATCCAGAAATTTGCAAAGCCTAAGAACCCACTTCAGGGTAGAGCTTCGGCTGATGTAAGTGGGCAGTGGGTACAGACTTACTCATTTCAGTGGAGCTGTCTGCTGGCTAGTGAAATTCTAGTGTGCTGTGGTCTCAGGCTCAGTATTTGCTGTGTCTATGCATGATGCCTTGGAGAGGGACCTGTGTTCCCACTGGAGAAAAGGTTCCTAAGAGAACTGCAGAAATGCTATAGTTAGCATTGCAACCATGCTTGAAAGGCACCTCTTTCTACTATTTATTTTTCTCCGAGTAGGGAGCTGCCTTAGCACTCACTGAATAGGTAGGGATCACAAGTTAGCATAAAGAACAAGTATTTCTACAAAAAAGACAACTCAGTGCTATACAACCAAAAGTATTTAAGGTCAGAACTATCACTCACTGCTTTAACTATTAAATTATGTGGAAGAACCTCAGTTAGGAGGTAACAGGATCAAGGAAGCATCTCCCCTGAGGCATCACGTTAACACCACTTCCACCTAACAAGGCTAAAACCAAGATGGGTTTGATTGTGGCATCTGCACTCCCAGAATCAACTAAATCCTCTTAGTGCAGGTAGGGTTAGTTACTCTTAAGTCAAGTTCTTTCTACCATCAAAAATCAGCTCTTCATCAGATAATTGACTACTAAAAAAGCCGAGCAAAACAAGTAGAAAACAGACATTTTCACATTCTTACCTAACTAGTAGTATGCGCTTGTGCTTTTGCTGTAAATTTTGTTATTTCTAGCAAACTCACTGTTCCTGAAGAGCCTCAGCAAAGCAAGGTGGGTTTCATCTTGGGAACGTCTTGTTTCATCTCATCACTTTCTGCGAAAACATATGGCCTCAACATATTGTTATTTTTATTCCTTAATAAACAGTTCTGTGGCAGTTTTGACTAGAGGCTGAACAGGTTGAAGAGCCAGGACTAGGTGCTGCAGACGCCAAAACAATATAAATTGTTCTGGCATCTGAATACAAGCCTTACATGATTCTGGCTCTTACCAATAAAGAACACTTTGCTAATGAACATAATTATCTAGCGAAAAAGGTGGTACTAGGACAGTAAAACATCCCTGTTTGGCTCCATTGGTGTATGAGTCAGGTTTTCCCCATGCAATTCCATGTGGTGTAAATGTACAATGTCTGTCCTTCTAGCTGCAAGTTGGCACTGACATTTCTTCCCCCGCTTCACCTTCACACCCACAGGAATTTTCAGTGTGGGTCCATTCAAAGTCTCTGGAAGTGAATGGAAGCCTTTCCATCCTCACTGAGCTCTGCACCAGGTAATGAATGAGTAATTTTGGTGCAAAAATCTAATCTCCCTCTCCCCAAAAAGAGGAATTACAAACGTAAACCCCTTATAGAGAGTTTTCTCCCTCATATCACAGCAAAGACTCTTCTTGGCTTCTGCACACTGACCCAGCATAAAATAGTGAATAACATTTATTTTTGAATTTATAGATTGAGTGCTCAGGGATTTTAATAGCACTGGGGTTATGGAAGTGCTATTTTAATAAGGACCACAGATCATGGGCCCAAATCCTTACCTTCACCTCATGGACTTGTAAACTCAACCATTTAACTCAAATCTCTTTATTGGAGGCCTCAGAATGCATCCACCTGGAGGCTGAAAAATTGAAAGGCAGAAGGCTGCGCAAACATGGAATGAGGGAATTTAACCAGCAGGAATGTGGCCTATAAAATTAAACTTCAAGAACTGTTCAAGAAAAATTAAAGTTTGTGCAACAGCTGGGTTTTCTCTTAATATTAGTTCATTAGTTCTCCAAAAGTTATGGTTCTTATTAAAACTGATTACATTTTGGAATCATCTTCTGTAGTACTAACACTGTCTTATTTTACTTGCAAAGGACAAAATCATGACTCACTGTGATCTGCCGCCTAATGATATTAATATTTATTGAGTCATCAGAGGTGGACTCAAAAGATCTCAGATTCCCTAATCTGAAATGACAGAGTATTCCTAATACACAGTGATTAAACAGCCCTGGAGTTTACAGTGAGTATTCAGGAACAAAAGCTGGTGCATTTCTTTCCCATGAGCGTCTGCAAGGAGAAGGAATCCACTCTTGTGCAGTGGGCAAAGCAGAAGAGGGAGCTTCGCTTTAGTCTCATTTAGACCCTACCTGATACTCATTCAGAGCCTGGGCTCGTTCTCTCTGCTCTTGACCTTAAAGGTTCACTCCCTTCCTTGTAGGGTTTTAAAATAACAGGCTACTTGCATGATTTGAAATCTAAGCTCGCGAAGCAAGACCTTCAGTGAGAATGACTGCGTGAGGCTCTGAGGGCGCTCAGATACGGTGCTGACGGCGCGTTCCTAGATACTGACAGAACTTTCTGTTCTCTAAATGGCTACAAGCTCTGGGATAACCGTGTTACTCGACCAGTTAGCACTTTAACTGTAGGCAAACTAAATCTATTCAAGAAGCAGGCTGAGAAGTAGAAAAAGGCAAAGGAAATGCAGGAAAATAGATTAAGAGAAGCTTAGGACACAGTCCCAACATGACGACACCAAGGATGTTACAGTTTCTGCTAACTTGCAGGCAGCACCACTTGTGCTTAAAATTCTGCATGCTTGGATATACATGGGCATTCAGAGAGCTGCACTACCTGATTACCAGATTTGCAGCCACAGAGCGTTCTGTTACAAGGTGAATGGCAGGACTCTACCTGCAAAACTGCAGATGCAAATAAGAACTCTTGCATCGTGAAGGATACTCCTGTAAGACTGGGACTCTTCCGAGTATCAAGAGTTGCCACAGGAGGAGTTGGATTTTTCAGTGTGGTTTTCAGAGTACGTCCCTGTGTGCATAATGCTGTCATTGTGGAGCAGTGGGAAGCAGTGCCGGGGTTACAGTGTGCTGCTGAAGACTTCTGAGACAGAAGAACCTGACTGGTCATCTGGACCCGTTTGCTGTTGCATAGCATCGTGCACACCCTTATGTTCTACAGACTGTGGGCTCACTGCCAAGGACTTGCCTTCTTCATGCAGCAATGTTGTTTCATAAGGCTCAACATGTATCCTATGGAGATGCTGCCTTGATTCCTCATACTTGCCTTTCCCATCTTCTGGAAGGCTGGATGTATGAGGTAAGAAAGTGCTCCGAGAGCCATTGGCAGGAAGCTTTATCTGCTCAGTGGAGGTAGGTTCTTGAGATAAATCTGTAGATCTCAGGAGATGCTGAGTATAAACGCCTTCAGACAGAGAGCCAGACTGTGTCTCACTGTGCACACGTAGCCAACGATGCTGACGGCTGAAGTAGTTGTAATGTTGGTGCTTCCCTAGCCTTTTTTTACCCAAAAAGCTCAACGGCTGCCTGGAGCTAGAGGACTTGTCTATGCTTTTTGATGTAAGCCCTGACATTGTTAGATTACTCATGTACTCTGTGCAATATTCAGCATTAGTATCAAAGGCACTACACTCTTTCAGGCCTTCTTTCAACGTTAGGCAGGGCTTCATGTCATGGACTTGGAGAACATCAGGTGCGCTGCCACCTAGGCCACTGCCTGCCTGCTGGGATATGTCATTTGAGGAGGAATATATTAAGTCTAATTCTTTGGGACTTAAAGCATCGCTGGAATCATAGTCACTGTCAGTTGGAAGGAATACTTCAGAGCAGCCTTCTTCATCTGAGCAGGGCTGGGAATCTGAAAAGAGAAGTGATTACTACCAACAAGACAAGCACATTAGAGGAATTGCTTAAATGTCACATTTTTTTTCTCCTTGACTTGGAATCATACCCATAATTCCAAAAATCAATGTGAATTTCTTCTGTGAAAACGCCCGTGAGCCCAGGAGACAGTAGCCAAGACAATAATCAGGGAGGATTTGCAGATGTATTAGAGAGGTGGCGGTAAGAATTAGGAAAACCCCAAAGGATTCATGTATTGAAAGGAATTGAGCACAGGGAAGAATTTGAATTTGAATTGGGATTAAGTTTTGAAAGGATCTGTTTTCTTTTATCTTGTTTTCACTAAATTTGATAAAGATGGGGATTTGGGAGACAGAGAAGCTCTAATCCAGATTCGCTGTTCTTTAAAGACGTCAGAGGAGTTACTCCAAACTTACACCTCTGTAGCTGTGAGCATGTGTGTGGAAGAGGTCTGAGGCAAAGTGAGGAGGCGGGTGAGCAGAAAGACCCCACTGGGTGCATTAGGTATGTGCAAATTCAAAACTGGCACAATTAACATATGAATTTGATGAAATTTGCACTGGCACTGAAACCACTGTTGTCCTTTGGATACAGAAGGATCAATAACATAACAAACAGCGACATATATGATTAGAATGCACTGATGCTTCTCTGCTCCACTGCTGACCTGGATAGTTTATATTAGTTTCAATGGAAAAAAAAAAAAAAGCCAGTACATTTTATGTAGTGCCAACTATTCACTTTGACCTAGTGTAAATTACCATATAGCAGGGCAATAATGGCTCAAGCCCATGCAGGGCAAGATAATGCCCTAGGTTACATGGTGCCAGAGCTAAGGCACAGAGGATTATTCTGCATTCATGGTATGCAATACAGGGAGAAATTTAGCTCAGAGAGAGGTGCTGAGAAAGAACACCACTGTGTGAGGGAGCAAACAAAAGCATGTGACACCACAGACTTTGGGTTTCTTTTAATCTAATCTAATCAGGGTAGATTTATATGTTGTTCTTAACTGTAAAAAAAAGTCACTTTGAGAAATAAATTATCATTATCAAAATGGTCATGGGAGGTGTTTAATGCAGAATATGCTGCTTTTGTTTTTACCATTTCATTTAGTTATTGCTTAAGGACAGCCCAGCAGAATGAGGGTTTACATATTTCTCCAAATTCCTTACTCAGTTAGCAAATTGTTACCGTTTCATTTACTTCCTCTTTATTTGATATGATTAATTTTTTTCATCACTTTAATTCCGCAGCTGTTCAGAGAAGCAATAATGGCGAATGAAGAGGACACTTATTTCTGTAATTTTGTCTTTTAAAGGACATATCTAAACCAATGAGGACTCTGAAATAATGTGAAACTGTTAAATCAAACTGGACTATCAACACTAACATTTCTTCCATCAAAACAAAGACAGAGGAGCATGAGAAAGTTACTTCAAAGTAGAGGAATGGTGAAGGAATGGAAAGAAAATGTCTGTAATGCTACAGAAACAGAAGTGATAAATGGTGAGTGTGGAAAAGTGTGAGTCCCATCTGGGACAAAATGTCAGAAACTACTAACGAAAAGACATAAGCGCAGTAAGAAAGGACCAATAGCTTTAGTTCAGTAACTCATCACCAATCTAGTAAAACTCTTTGAACATGTGGACAATGTAATACATAGGCACATTTGGGTTTCTGAAGAGCTTTTGACCAGATTCTTCACAAAACATTCTTAAGAAATGAAGCTGTAATTGAGATAAAAGGAAAGCTCCTTCCTCAGATTAATAACAGATCAATGGTGCAGAAAACAAACGGACTAATAGTCAGCTTTCACCATGGATGGATTTTACTAATTCTGGAGGTCAAGGAAGAATTAGTGGTAGGACCTGTCTTATCCAACCTATTCATTAAACAATCTGGAACAGCAAGACAATAAAGTTGGCTGATGATACGCAAGAACTCTGAGTAGTGGAAAGCAAAACATGATTGTAAGGATTATAGAGGGTTCTCAGGTTCTCAAAGACAATGTAGCTAATTATTAGAGTAGTTAATGATTGGTAAAATACCCTGTCAAGCATGGGAAAAAATAGTCCTTTTATAAAATGGAATTCAAGAACTGTTTTAATTAAAAGCGAGTTCAAAGATTTTCTTTGATAAACAAAATCTCTCTTACCACTCACAGCTTTTCTCCTCTGGCTTCTTGTCTCAGGTGAGGCGGGAGGTGAAGGAAGACAATCGAGATGTGAAGATGTGGAACTGATTTTCTTCTGGGTCCGCTCTTCTGCAAGGTCGACAAGCTTCTTGATGGGTAAGCCAGGGGCGGGCTGCTTGTATCTCGCATACTGCAGTGCTTCTGTGATCCACCTCGTTTCCCGCCAGATCTCATCAATTTGCTTGGGAGGAAAAAAAGAGGGCCAAAATCCACAATTAATTCTGGACTATATTAATTCTGGACTATATTAATTCTATTTATTGCTGCAACCAATGAATGGGTGGTAGCAGTGAGCGCAATATCCTTCCGTTGCAGTATCCTTCCTAGAGCTTCCCTTTTGCTTGGCATCCTGCAGAAGCTGCATTTAAAGTATAACTGAGCCTCCACATTAATATTGTAGTGTTTAAGAGCAACGATTTCTCAGCTACGTGAGCCACATTCTGCAAGAATGTCAAGGGGAAGAAGGGTAAGTAAAAGTCAGTGGTACTGTGTGAAGCGAGTGTAATCAAATGGGGACACAGCAGAAGGATTAATGAAAAGCAGACTCCGTATTGATAGATTATCAGGCTGGTTCACTGGCACCTCCTCTTAGCTGAAGATTTTTTTTTACCAAATGCATAACCCAGCTGTGGAACATAGAGTCAAAGGACACTGTAGATGTCAGAAGCTTAGCAAGGGTAATCCTTGCTGGGCACTGCTGGGGGGAGTATAGCTGGCTGGATCAATCTCTAGTTTGACCTAGCAGGGCCGTATTTACGTACAGGTGGAATCCTGTCTCCAGCAAAGTCAGTACAAGCCTTGCCATTGAGTTAATTTGGGCTAAGAATGTACACCAATTAGAGCAGTAAAGGGTTCAGGGATTCATTTTTAACTCATTTCCAGACTTCTGTGTATCCCCATGAAGAAAACACACTGGGTTGACCAGTTAGCAAGCTTCTTGCTGACTTGCTTTTGCAGACTTTGCATTTCCTTACTGTAATCCTCCCCCAACTCAACTGCATGCAGTTTATTAAAATGCAAATCCTATTGCTTTTCTCCCCAGTGTCACTCTACAGTGTCTCCTGGGATAAAGGGCCAGTCACTTCTTAATGAACTGTGGTTCTTACACAATTTAGGAACATCTGAAGCATTATGCTACATAAATTACAGCTTAACTGCAATTTTAGCTCCAGTTTCTATAGATTTCTTGTCTTGCTCTCTAATGTTCTGGTAAAGATGCTGAGTACCTTATCTGCTGGTTTTTTTTTAATTATTATTTAAAAAAAATCTTTACTTTTTGGTTGCCCTCTGACTCCTTTTCAGAGCTGCATTTATATAGTCTCCTTTACTCTTTACAATGTTTGGTTTGTGTAGTGACTTCAACACTGTCTTAGATCTAGGATCACACAAATGCTCTTGCGGTTTTGTGGTCACCACTGAAGATTGTGGTATGTGGTGGGCTGAGATATTTTTGCCAATAGGTAGAATACAGCTGGTTTTCATTTGAGAGGAAACCTGACAAGGCTAATACACTGTCACAATAATTCAGCACAAAACACTGAGCTTGAAAATTCTCTCCTATATTTTCTGAGCATATACTGGTGACTTGAACACTTTGGAGAAGAGGAACACACAACTATCTATGCAGTGCATGTGTATTAATAAAACATGCATTTCTTTTTTTGATGTGAAGGGTAATATTATCCTAAATGCTACTATACACTGGGAACAACTAGCTTTTCTGGATGTGAGAGTGGGAAGATGAGGAGGAAGAGGATGGTTGAAAGGCGGAAGCACAGTAGAGCATTTCCTGCTGCAAGTTTCCAACAGCTCCAGCACGGACAAGGCTAAAAGGGTTTAAATTTAGAGCAAGGAGGGCCAGAAATATTATAGTCAGATTCATAAGTACAGAAGATCATGAAAGCCACCAATGGGATACATGGTTGTTTTGGCCCCTATTTCAAGAGAAGGTTGCTTGAGTATTAACAATGTAGAGCTGTCAATTAATCTGCACCTCACTTGTAGAAAGACAATTCAACCATGTCCATCAACGCACTATGCAAAGGCCATGGGCTTTATCCACAAATCACCAGTCACCACAAAGTTTTGCAAAAATACAGGCCTTGCTACATTGCCCCATGGGGTGTAGTTCAAAGATTGCTGAGTTAAGTCTTGGTTTGGAACAGTACTGGAAGATCAGTGTGAGCAAAAGCAAACTAGGCCAAGTGGGGTAACAATTGCAATCCTACCGCATCAGGGGAAGGAAACAAAATTTCTTCTTGGTGCTGGGCAGAACTACCAGCTCTTTAAGGGCCAGCCTGCTACCTCGAACACAAAACTGCTTTGTTCACTGTGATGCTAGAGATGGAGATCGCCTCCACGACCTAGTCTGAATTTTCATTTTATTTTTTTTTTAATTGGCGTATTATCAGGGCAAAGATCCACTAATATGGAGAAAAGGCCTTACCCAAACGAATGGCCAAGCATGGTGTTAGCTTCCCTCACGTACATGGGAGTAAGTTTTACAAGCAAACTGACACATTTTTTTATAACAGTCTAGTATAACTGTCATTTGATTTTACCCATAAAAACCCTTGTATAAAAGCAACAACTAAGGAAATCATGTTCTGGGTCTGAGTTTCATAAAAACAGAATTGCACTTTTGATACAACTGCTCTTTTTATGATGTCTGTGAATAATTCACCAATTAGATTTCAAATTACAGCCCCATGCAATTTTTAAGAACGCCACCTTAAAATCTCCCTGGCGTAGTCAGAAACAGACTATTACCTGTATGTAGTCTGTAACTTGCTGGTGTCTTTGTTTGGCTGCAGCGACTTCACTGTCTGAAATTGCTTCCCTCAGGGACTGCTGGGTTTTCAGAGAGTCCAGCTCTATGACAGCAGAAAGGCGGCAATACAGGCTTATAAATTTTTCCTTGTAACAGCAAAAATGAACTGTGAAAAGACCAAATGCAGAGGAAGCGCTGTTATATTCTGGTTGTGAAATATGAAATCCTTAGCTTTCATAACACAAATTTTATTCAATATAATTACTAACACTTCAGAGGGGTTACTTCAAGCTAGAAATAAATAACAAAGGATCTAATTCTTCCCTCATTTATACTAGTTTACTCTGTAACTTCCCCAATTTCAAACAAATCATTCCTAGTTTATATCTAAGTGAAGGGATAATCAGGTCCTTAGTATGCAACTCCAGAGGCTGCTTTGCCTTTGATAGCTTTAATCAGAAAGGCTGATTTTAAGGCTTTTATAGCTCATTATGCAATAGCAGGGTTCTTGTAACAGTGACAGTCTAAGAATATAAAAGAGGAAAGGTTTTCAGGAAGGGGTAATTTCTTTATCAGGCAAGTAGTGATATGACTGGAAAATGGAACCCATCTTTTATTTTAATTGAGTGTTTCAGAACGCAAGTATCATTTTGCAGGGTAATAATTTTGTCTTGGGCTAGACTAACTTCCAATCAGTAACTCAAATGTAAGTGACTCAGCAGTAAAAGCATTTCTGGGCTGTCACAGTTTGGGTGATACAATTAAAATCTTTTAAGTGTCACTAATTGCACACTGTCCCTTGCCCTCTTACGCAGAAGGGCAGCCACAGGCAAGTCAGAACTGACCCCTGTCTCAGTTAATTGGACTTCAGGAGAGCACAGAGCTACCTGGGCCTCCGTGGGAAGGGCTAGTGCCAAGAGAGGAGCTTCGTTGGGGAGCTTCGCTCGCTCCCAAAGCTGCCTTCTTCCAGAGCCTGTGCTTGCTCATGCAGAGCTGGCCAATTCCCGCTGCAAACTGCAGTGCAGACACACCAAAACCCGCACAGGGAGAACTGGTTTGCAGAAATACTCCCCCATTCATTGGCGCTCCAATAAACTGAAGTATGGGGCACAATCTTGTTACAGCAGTGAACGGCAGCTGGCTTAATGCTCCTGGCTTGGGGATTGATATTTTTTGGGGTATTTCAGGTGTAAATTGCATAGATTGTTCTTATCATAAGCCTTCGAACACAGGTAAAAAGGCATATCATATCTGTCATCCTTTGCAAATACATGAAATCAAGAAATTCAACCTCAGAAGCATTATTAGCATAACAATGAAGGCCAAATCTGAACACAGAAATCTCACCAAAAAAGAGTGAAAGAAATAATTCTACCTTCTGGCTTCCCAATGATGCCTAGATGTTGTAGGGATCTAGTGTGAATAGTGTGTGGTCTTACAGTATATATGCCATATGTGGTGGACTCTTGAGTGAATTACAGCCGCGGTTTCAGCTTCAGTGCTGAAGTTTCTAGCCTTTGTGGTTTTAAGTCAGACCCTTTAATGTTACTTTAACAAATGTTACTTCAACATAGTCTTTTGTGGTTATGCAATTATATAGTTGGTAGCCACGAGCTAATAAGGAATGGAAGCTTCTAATATTTGAGATGTGAATCACAACTATTTTATAGAACATCAGGGATACATATATAATAAGTCATATAGAAAATGTCATCTGCATTTGGCCAGATGATTGCTTACTTAAAAAAAAAAATCAAAACTTGAAACTCGGCCTTCTTGCTGTTTTTTCCTCCATCAACTGCAGCAACACTGCTAAACAGAGAGGTCTGGCCCAGGATGCTATTTAGAGACTACTCTGTTGAATGTTTACCTGTACCACATCATCCCCACGCGGTCCCTACTGTTCTATGAGCTCAGTGCAGACGGTGTCCCAGAGAAAAGAGGGACTCCTGCCCAGGGCCTGTGTGCCACACAGGGAGAGAGAAATAGTCTGCAAGACCTTTAGTGTAGAGATAACTCTCACCAGAGATGATAGGATTCATTGATTTGCACAGTGAATGCAACAGTCACCTCTCCTAGGCAGAAATAACGTGCTTAATAAACAGAATCTAACTGTAGACCTTGAGGTTACAGAGCAAGAAGACAGTAAATCTGGCTGCAGGACACTGAGTGCCACAGACATGCGATCTAAAGCAATAAATTAACTCTGCTTGTTCAGTTATCTCAGTTCTCTTTTGAAGGGGTAACTTTACCCCGGCAGACTACACAGCAGCTCATGTATTGTCTGTACCTCTCAAACTTCTGCTCACTCAGCTGTCATCTGCTCTCCTGCTACTGGCATGAAAACCTCAGGCTGTCACAGGCACCACTCTTGGTGCTGGGACTGATGCGACATGGACACAATTTTATGTTTCTACCTGATTCAAATCAAATTTGTGCTGCTGCATGATGGCAGGTCACAGATCTGTTGTGACTGCAGAACCACAGACTTAGGGAGCCCCTCTGTCACCACCAGGCATCGTTCTCCTGCATCACTGCCTCTAATAGCAATTTTCAATCATAAAATGCTGGGAAATCCTCATCTTGGGAATTCCTACCTACGCAGTAATGAAATGAAACAGGAGGGCTGAATCTGCTCCAGCCCAGGATGCGCTCCCTAAAGAAGGGCATTCAAGTCTCAATCCAAGGTGAGTCTTCCTCACCGTAACAGACTTTTCTTGCATCACAAAACCAGGACTGAATCTCCTGATTTTTTTTTCAGGAATTTGAAGAGATTCCAATTGGAAGATTGGAAGGGAACGACACTCAACCCTTTCACAAAGTCGCGAGGGTGCCCCACTATCTGTAATCAGGGACTGCAAAACTCTCCCCTACAAAACTGCTAATTACTCTTCTGACAATTTAAAGGAATGTTTAAATCTGCTTTCACAGCTCTCGCATTTTTAACTTGTGTGTAATTTTCGGTTTTGTTTTCTAAAGGGCATCATCTTCCAAATAAACTTAGACACATACTGGATAACTGTGGCTTTTCTCAATGCTTTGCATTTCAAGAACGATTGCTACAGTATACGCTTTAACTGCTCTGCTCCCTCTGTAACTTGTACACAGTTATAGGTAGTGTTGTTGCCAAAGCCATCATGTGATTTATTGACTCTCCACTGGGACAAGGGGGAAAACAGATACAACTTTGTGATTTTATTATAAGGAGCCTGGGTTAATATTTCTAGGTGAAGCAAGCTACTATACCGAGTTCAAACATCTGAAGAGGGAGGTTAAGAAATCCTGAGTGTGGGGTGTAAGGATTATTCTGTCCTGGGGCAGTGCAGACGTCGTCTGAGGCGGGGAGCAGGAGAAGAAAGGAGACATTGTGACCCAGTTCCAACACCTCCTGTGTATACAGACGGAAGTGCTTAGCCTGTAGAGGGACACGCGCGGGGAAGAAATAGGAGAGAATTACAACATGGCACTTATATAAACAACACCCCAAATGATATAAAACATTAAAGAAAATTTGCACGACATCAAGCTCGGCATTTTTATAAAACATAAATATTTGGGGGGGGCCCTAAATGTGGGTTCATGTCACTACATAAAATAAAGATTTAAAGCTGCAATGTTCCACATTAAAACAACACGCACAGGCACAACCCCCCTGAAAACAACATTTATGTTTCTTATTAGGCAGAAAATGATCACATGCCATGTGCTTTTCAAGATTATGATTGCATAATTATGTGAAAACATGAAAATGGATTCAATTAAAAACCTTTAAGATTCAATTTAGGGTCGGTTAAAAGAAATATGCAGCTCTCCCTCAACACAGCACCGAAAAGTTTTAACAAGTGCTGCAGCAAGAGAAAATGGCAAACGCAGGAGCTGGCCCGAGGCTGCTGTACAGCTGCTGTGTGCAACCCCGCATTTTGCTCTGCGTTCGCAAGTGTCACTGGCCATGATTCCATTTACCAGAGTAATAATAAAAATACATAAATAAATCCGCTGAATCAAAAATTCAATTTATTAAGCCAGAAGTTGGGTCCTGAGTCATCAAAACAGTTTCAATTGTGTTTAACCGCAAGGTCACATTTTTGCCCGTCTGTCATGCACAGTGGACAGGCTAAAATGCTTGGCTGAACTGCAGCCTAATGAACAAACTGCACATTGATTTCAATATTTTAGTCTCTAACTTAAAAAAATAGGATGCACAAAAGCTATGACCTCTAAGAAAATACACTGGTGCAGAGAACTGTACAGAGCCCTATTGAATTAGAGGGACTGACCACAAGGCAGCACATCATCTGTCTTAATTTTGGATTTACTTGAAGCTTACTTGGCTCTTCCCTAGCTAGAAGGTGCTGCACCGATGGATTCTTTTTACAAGTAAAGCCTAAACCTTTCAAAATCAAGAAATGGAGAACCAGATTAATTTATTTTAAAGCCACATCTTTCTAATTTACTTCTACTTTAAGCCATCTTACACTGGCAGACCAAGATAAAATTGGCTTTGTGTAATGAAGAAACAAATTCCTTAGTGCATCTAAGCACATTCCTTGTGCATCTTCCACATCATTGATTATCCTCACTTTACTTATTCACACATGCTTTTTTGGGTACTTAAATCTAAAGTCAGAAGCCAGATACCTCTCCTCACTCACAGCAATCTGGAGGCCTGGAATTACATATTTTCAGAAGTGCTATGCTTACCTGTGTATAAAAGAATTGCAGAATGCTGTGTCTTCAGCAGGTCTTGTGTGCACCCTTGCTAATATTGCAAGAATTGACTGAGAGAACAGTCAATTACCCTGCTTTCCTGAGAAAATACCTATCCTGCTTTGCCAGCCCGCCGTAAAGGTGCTCACATCTATGATTCTATGTGTGCAAAAGTGCTTCTTTGCACCTGCCTGAAGCTGAACGAGTATGCTGACAGACACAGAAGTTGAAGCTAATTGAAAATTTGTCTCTTAATCCTTATTTGTTCACACAGCCAGGGAAAGAACTCTTCCTGGGGGTGTTCTCCCCACACACATTTAAAGTAATTGGATACAAAGCTTCTCTGCTTTTCTTTTTTTGCAACCTTACCACTTAATCTCTACTTGAAAGTTACACATTTTGTAGGTTCTAGTTGTGTTCCTAAGAATCAGTTTTATAAAAGGTGATAAATACCACAAAGGAAAATACCTGATGTGGAGGTAGATTGATCTGTTTAAGGAGAGCTTTCACTGCCATCTGGAGCTCATACAAGAACAATTGAGTAGGGCAGTCTGAAGTATGATCCATACTTTCCACGGATTCTGAGCCAGAAAGTGTTTGGATCCATTCCCACTCATCTCTGTATGTTGAGTCAAGTTAAAATTAGAAATATAACAAAAGTTCAGTGCACAAGGAGGAATTCAGTGTATGTGCATTTGGGATCTGTTGATAGTTTAATCCTCATATAGCAAAGCATTCTAAAATTGTGCAATCCTGATTGTTTGTGGTTCAAAATCCAACTCTGAAAAGTTTAATTTTTCTAGCACATGTACATCAGGCTGAACATTCCTTGCTAACATCTGAAGGTCCAACTGCCTTTGAAATTTCACTAAGGTTGCTCAGTCCAGGTTTTCTTTTCCACATACTTTATTCCGTATCTACCACAATCTTTTATAAAGCATGCATTGGAAATGACAACAGTGACAATTCTTGGGACGTTTGCTTTCTGTTACAGACTCTCTGGAACCGCTGGAGCCAGAGAACTTCCTGGTTGCTAGACATTTATCCATTCTAGACCTGATAAACATGGGAATCATCTTTCTGGATCTAATTCTTAATCCACCCTGCCCATTATTCTGTCTTGAAAGGCTGCCAGCACCAAATGTTCCACAGAAAGTACAAGAAACCCCACTACAGGATGAATAATAGACGTGGGACAATCTGCTCCTAAATAAAGATCTGATCTTAAACCTCAAGTATCAGAGACTGTTATAAACTCTGAGGCATTAGGCTTTATATTACTTCCAAAATTATTGTTCGTATTAACTACTATACTCTGGATATCCTTGTCGTGCCTATAAAAATGGAGTTCCTCTTTGAATTTGAGTTCCTCCATGCAAAATTCTCAGCTGGTTGCTAAAAGTGTATAGGATTAAAAAGCACCGGGGAAGGGAAGCGAAGAGAAGGGAAAGGGGAAGAAGTCCTTGCCTTGCCCACCAGGCAAGGACTCAAATAAATGTGCAAATAAATGTATTTGTCCAATAAGACAAGAAAAGGAACAAAGGACTTGGGTGGCAAAATGGCTTTTCCAGTACCTAGCAGTTCTATAGCTGCTAGCATTTGTCTGTGTCTTCAGTTGCCATATGTTTGCTGTGGATTAGGGCTAGAATCTACATATTACACAGGAAAGGACACTGAAAAATCAGGAAAACACATGCAATGCCTACAGAAAATCAACACCAAGGGTGAAAGGGAATTCACTGGAGGCTCAATAAAGGCTGCAGGCTGGGGTATCACCAACAGACACGTGCAAGATGATTACGGCTCTACAGAGCCCAGGATCAGCACTTGAGCAATCACAGCATAGTGTCCACAGAAAGCAAAGGGATTGTATGTTTATGTTGTGAGGTCTTTAGAAATGCTGGGAATATGCAGGTGCACCTCTTTAGTTCAGCACTGATCTCTATGGTACCCACCTGGGCCAAACTTTGCTGAAAGCTATAAATTTGGAATGGTAACTCAGCATTTGCTTTTAAATTTGACAAACTGTTTCAAACTTCACACAAACACTCTCTGCATAGGTGTGTGTAAATACACATATATTTACTTACTTGGAAACATTGCAGTTATCTCGGATTTTGACATGACACAGGACATTAGGCAACTTCTGCAGTACCAGAACTTTGATTTGATCCACAGAGCTGCAGAGTTTAAGGTAACCCAAATACAGGCCGGGAGGGAGGCGTTGCTGACTTCGTTTGTGATAGGAAAGTATGTCCTGTTTTAAGAGAAACAGTCCTACATAAAAATCTCATTTTTTTTTCCACATAAGCGGAAGAGTATGCGATCAAAAAGCAGCAACTGTTTTCACAGCCGACGTTTTGTTTCAACACTGTTCCCAATTCGCAAAGCATTTAAGCACATGCTTAAGCGTATAAATAATCTCTGGTAGTTTGGATGCACTTGGAGAACTTTCTGCTGCTACACACAAATAGGCAAGTTGTCTGTGTCCTGCAGGAACTGGCCCTAAAACCCTGAGGTTTTACATTCTGTGAACTGTGCTATTTAAATTAGCTTAAGTAACACCCATCTCTGCACTCCTGTCTGATCATTTCAGCAGGGAGCTGTGTCAGGGAACTGATTCAGACGAAAACAACTCCAGAAAAGAAGCTGTTATTTTATTATGGCATTTTATTCAGCCAGATCAGTTCCCCGATTGCCTTGGTCTACAGCATACATGGAGTAGAGCAGCACAGGGAAAAAGCTGTTTGCTGGGGAAGGCAGCAGAGGGGCTGCATAAGCCGCTACTGTCACCAAAGAAATGCACGTAGAGCCACAGCCAAGGTTTCTCAAAATACATGTTCTGTATCCCTTGCTATCAATAGGGAAATCTCTACGAGCACGGGGGATGTTGGTTTGCAAAGTTTAATTAATGGCTACGTTTTCAAAACAAACATCTCCATCAGCAAAAAGAGCTCGGAAAGAATTAATACCGATGGCCTATTCGCTGAAGTCAGGAGACGTTTTTAAGGCTACAGCAATCCCTAAAGACTAGCCTAAAAATGATGTCTGCTGCCATCCTTAGAAATGTGTGCCTTTGCAGTGGGTGAGGATTAAGACACCTGGCCTTATGCCTTTACTCTTGGAACCATCAAATTATCTGCCAATGCTATGCTTGGCTCTGACCACTGCAATTAGACCCTCATTTTCACAAGCACTTCATGAACAAAATACCCATTCCATGATTAAGCAAGTAATACAAGAAAGGGTGGGCATTAGATAGGAATGTGTAAACCATTAGGGGAACATTTTTTCCACTAGGATCTCTGTGGAAATCTGATCAGGCCTGTATTGTGGGTTTCCTAATATAAAACTTTTGCCCAGATTGACATTTTTCTACACCTTTAACACATTTTAATACAGTAAATCTAACATAGAGCAGGTAAGTTTTATTGTCTTTCGGAAATTTTTTAACGTTCCTAAAACTTGGTAATGTGTATTTTGATCGCCTGTCAGTTTCCGGTATCAAAAACACAGTTTCTCTGAAAAAAAATTCCTCTCATTCAAGAACTAGCCACAGCAGTCGTCATCTAAGGTGACTAAAGAAGAAACTAAAACAACACTTTATCTTATGTTATTTTCAGTAACTACGCAACTTACTAGTTTCAGAGAGAAAAGAGACTGGTAATGACACTTAATGAGAAAAAAGTTGCTGTTACTTATAGAAAATATTTATTAATCCTACTGTGAACTATACAGATGTAAGGTGATTTGTAATGGTGCTGTAAAGCTGTGATACTCCTTTTTTTTTTTAAGTGGAAGCGACTAACCATGGTCCAGGTCCAATTCTTTATCTTGGTTCCATTCTAAGCCTAAAGTCTGTCAAGCCTGTTAGGCAAAAATTACATGTGAGATATGCTCAGTAAAGAATTCTTCAGCAACTAAATGGGGTTTCTGAGAAACTCTGAACCCCAAAGAACAAGTTGATGAAGAGGAATTGCACAGTTTTAAAACATACAACTTTTAATGTTCAATGTTGGATGGAAAAATTGTACAGAGTGCAGGCACTGTAAGCATCTGTATAGGTGCTTAAGAACATCCTAGAGAATTTTGAAGGGTTTTATATCCCTTACTAGAGAATATTATCACGTGGTTTCCCCAAACTGATAGAAATTGTACCATTCTTTACTAGAATTTAAAAGCTATTTCTTTAGAGTCTTATGAATATTATACATATTAAGGATCTGATCCTAGCCCCACTGCAAGTAATATAAGTCTTTGCTCTTAATGGGAATCTTGCCATTGATTTTATTGGGCACTGGATTAAGGCCTAAAATTCTAGAAGACTCTTCCAAAAATCAGTGCTCTGGCACAGGCCACAAGAAAGCAAACAACACAGGGCAGGAGAAGCAAAGTACTACCTGGATAGTTATAAGCAAGATGTCTAACGCTGTTGGCTCCTCTGGAGTTGAAAGGGATTTCCTTTGGCTTTGTAGTTTGCAAATCTGCATCCATTTGCCATTAAAATATGAATAAAGACTCTCCACTTCTCTTATAGTAATTATCAGGATATTGCCATGTCGATCCTTGATGGGCTCATAATAAACTCTGCCCAAGTTGTGAGTTCCCAGCAAGTTCTAGAAAGTAAACAAATTATAAAATCATAGTTATTTACTGTGAATCAGACAATGTTTTTTGAAACAACTGTGCTTCCTGAAATCACAATGAGCTTTCTTGTTAACTTCAGGAAAAGCTGAACACACAGCACTCCTCAAACCCTTGCTCTGTGGGCACATCATTCAGTGGCAATAGTACAAACCTTGCCCCAGGTTGCATTTGGGAACTCAGTTATGGATCCTCCATTTTTTTGTTCCAGTAGTTTTAGTATAAAGATTAATGGATCAGTATGATCATTATGATCTCTATTTGTGCCCATGTGAAAACAGAGTGTGCAGTTTTCAAAAGCTGTTGGTCTCGCAATGATTCTTTTGGTCCTCTGGTCAGACCCTCTGGTCTCAGCAGTGAAGAGCTAGACGCTTTACCTTAAGTTCCACACACCCACAGACTTCAGGGATTCTGCTATCCCCAAATCATTCATATTGGACACTTCAAATGCCTTCTGTTAGGGTCATTAACTATAATCTCAGTTTTCTGTTCTGTTTTAAAATGATGCAGATTTTTCTCAGCAACAAAAGCAAGAGGCCCTCATATCTGAGCTGAAAGTAAATAATGCTGGAGCTGAATGATGGAGCATGCTAAGCAACACACAGGAATTTCAAGAGCCACGGACCCTTTTACTGCAGATACCAAGAATGTGCTAGACAAAACCAGCAGAACTAACAAACTCCTAACGCAAAGCTCTCCAGGAAAATATGTGAGGATTAAAGAAAAGTAATTTTAAAAGACTTCACATAAAAAACATAAAATACATATTTTGGTCAAAATCCTTTTCCTCACACAGGAAGGCATCTGCTTATAGGTGCAAACACACTCACTCCAGTGACCAGCCACTGAAGAGATTCCCAGATGTCTTAAAGAAAAATGCCTAACATTTAAAATATGCTCATTACTTTGGGACTTTTCAAGAGGTCTCCGGTAAACTGGATAGGGACAGGAGCAGTTTAAAATGAAAACCTGAACTCACAATGTAGCACACTACTGTATATTTAGAGAAGTGTAGACCTCTACATTAACTTAATGACATTGTAAACTAAGAGATTATCCAGAATTTACTTATGCTTAGCAGACAATATTTATTTAGAAACTATATTATTAAGCTGTTTATAAACTCCAAATAGTCAACACAGAAGCTGCCATATATGTGGCATAACTTAGCTAGTTCAGCTTTATGCATCCTTCTCTAGGGTGTGCTGTTGAAGATTAGCTTCACTATATCCTCTTTTACAGGAAACTTTTCTGATGGTTTGGGTAGGCTCCATAACTGAGTATCTTAGGTATGTATTTCATATTAATCTATGTGCCCATCCGTGGAACAAATCATTGCAGCTAGGTGTTAATCATCTAGTCATCACATTGGTTTAACCATTACAATATATGAATGTGCCTAAATGCAAGAGAAAACAGACCTTTACAGTCACTGACAACTCTCTGAGTGGCATTCCAGCAGGAAGAAAGGCAGTAGGTACATGAGCACGAATACAGTTAATTCATACACTAAGAAGTTATGTGTATGCTCCTCTTGCATCCCTTGTGTTTGGTTTGCTTTGTTGTCTAGTATTAACAGCAGGCAAAATTACAGTCCCTGTTGTCTCTGGATCCACTGATGTAGCCCTCAGCAGCTGTGTTGTCACTGATCTTTTCAATTCTGCCCTGCATTCCCGTGGAGTCAGTCTGTTACTGCCTCAATAAAACGTATTCAAGCGCATAAACTTTACTGAGATCTTTCAGTTGGTGGATCCCACTAGGCCACATGCCGTTAAAGGCTGGCAGATCATTGATAATGCATGTGTTCATCAGGGGACCACACTAACAGAACAAACACTAAGGACAATAAATTTTCCACAAATTCTACAGAGCAATATACCCCACACGGGCATATTTACCATAGCTCTGCACTTCAAGTTCTGTTTGTAACACTGCTGCTAGTGAGTAATAGCACTAGGAATTGCGGGCAGCTCACAGGGCGGTCTCTGCATATTAGCACCACTCCAGTAAGGAAAAATCCGCGCTGGAGAAATGAAACGGAGGTAACCCAAGGAATACGGGCTACCTAGGCTGAGCTAACCCCCCTGCAGGGAACAGGCAGCAGAGAGAGTTAACGCTGGCTCTGGTGACAGCTCAGAGGACTGACAAGCAGCTGCTGCTTAACGCAGGTGGTCCCCTAATAAAGGTGGAGCAGGCTGGCATGCCATATATTTCGGGACACTTTGGGGAAATCAGTCAAGACAGGTGGCTGCCCAGAAAGGCTACTCCCCTGGATGGATTTCTTTGCAGAAAGATGGAAAACAACCCTCACATGGATATTCTTAATAATACCCACAAAGTATGTGGCTCTCATAGCTGCTATAAACCCCAGGTTATTACACGGGCTGGCAATAACTTGAAGGATGGCTGCATGGCTAAAGCACAAGCCCAACTGTATGAAGATCAACCATTCTCTGATTCTGTGATCTGCATTAACTCCAGGATCGCATTTTATTATGCAATGTCCTCAAATCAATGAATTTTAAAAGAATACTATTATTAGTAATTATTTGCATCTGAAAGCTTTCGGGGAGAATACGGACACATAAGAAGAAGCCAGCTATGAGGTACAAACAAAACAGGGGAGAAAGTGAGGCCTGGGCATCCTTTTTCTATAAGAAATGCAGGGCTCCAACGCAGTTTGATGGAGGTTGCTGTGTAAATTCCAGGATTGCCTCCTCCTGTAGTCCAGGATATGGATTATTCGACAGTGTCACACGACCCACAACACCGTAGTCCTGTTGTTGTTTGTCAGACAGGGTGGCTCTGGTCTAGAAGCTGTTCTTGAGCAGCTTGTAAGACACAGGAGAATGAAGAACCCCATTTTGGCAACCTCAGCACCCTTCCTGACCTACTTCGCTAAGTACCCAGATAGCACAAGGGAGTATTAAGCCTCAATGAGAGTTTAAATGCTTCATTAATATATTAATGATGAAAATGGAAGAGGGAAGTCCAGAGGAAGACATCAGCAAAATCAATGCAGGATGCTGATCAGTGAATATCAGGGTTACAACTCTTGCATTCCCATTCTTCAAACCCACTGTCTGGGCACAGGATGACCACATTTGTGGTCATTATTTACTATTTCACATCTATTTGTTTCCTCTTCTGCCGCTATTATTTCTTTCCTTCCTTTTTTTTTCCTACTAGTTACCATTAGTGCAACTCCTTTCTTCCAGTTGGCACAACAGGCTCAGGAACTCACTTCACTGTGATAATGTTACTCCAAAGAATAGGTAAATGAGAGTGGTGCAGCAAGGACAGCTGGCAATACTTCCCCTTAGATACCAGAAAGTCATTGAAATTAATAGCTGAAAATATGCAAGGCAACCGACCTGGAGCTGTGCTGCTGCTGAAAGCATCTTTTGCCTGGCCTGAAGTGTTGTTGATGAGGACACGGATATAGACATATTCTGCCTCAGCCATCTGATATCATCCCACATACAGGACAGCTGCAAAAATATATGTAGTTCAGTCAGTCTTTGTTCCCAGTATTTGCGCAAACAGAAATGAAAATAAAAGCTTTCTGGACTTGTAAAAATCAGCTCATCTTGTTCATCAATTTGATTTTCTAAGATGGCAATAAGCTGCCTGGATTGAAACAGATACAAATCACAGGCACAAGAGGTGAGGAAAGCACTTTGTCATTTACCTTCTCAGTGGCATCATTTCATCTACTAAGAGTGATGAGTTGAGGCCCATGCAAAATCTAGCATCAAATCTGTAGAAACAATATATGAAATGGGGCTCCTATTACCTTTGTGAACCACAGGAAATCCTGCATAATTGAACTACTGTGAGAGTCATCAATTTCCACGATTGGAATTTGATCTTCATTAGTTACCAATAAGTTGTCCTTGTAAAAAAATATAACGGATAAGTAGAGTCCCCTAAAAAAAGACAGAAACATTATATCAACCACCTTTCATGCCTATCAAATGCACACCAAATTTTAGCTAATATAAACCTTAGCCAAAGAATCACAACTTCTGTGTTACACAGATCATGCAGTTTCAGCCAGTGAATTCTGAAAAATACTTGGGAGGCACATCACTTCAGACTACAAAAGCCTAACGTATTAGGGAATACTAGATACTCTGCTTCTGGCCAAGGGGATATTAATATCTATTAAAACAGCTTATCTGTGTCCTGCATTATATGCTATGAATGAAGTAAATTTTACAGTCTCAGAGCAGCCAGAGGCAGTACTTCAAAAAATACTAACTGTATGGTTGTATTTGCATACAGTATTTCACGCTGTAACCATTCAAATCCGTTTTCAGTAAAACCAATGAAGAGATTGCTATTAATTTCGGGAGGAACTGGAATGTTATTTTCCACATAGGTGCATCAATCTCACATATGTGCAATTTCATCAGGTTTACTGTGATTCTGTTTATTTGGGAGTAAAATCTGGTTACTTCTATTTTGAGGTGCTTTTCACTATTACAAAAAAAACCAGTAAGATAAAACTCATCATATTTAGGAGATAAAAGGTATGACAAACCGTTTGAGAGTCTTCACAAACTTGTTTGATGAATGGAAAAGATGCTTCAGGCTTCTAGATACTGATTGCTTGCGACCAGCATTCTGTAATTTAGAACTTTCTAGAATGGAAAATAAAAACCAAACCCAGCACTTAAATTTCAGTTAGCATCTCATAACGAACCTTTGTCGCTTAAATCATAGTATTAAATTTCACTGTGTGATCACTTTATTCCTCTCAACAGAGAACATTTAGTGACATGCTCATAATACAACCTTTTGCTTATATTTTCATTATCTTGGTGGTATGGGTAATTAAACAATTTCCTAAATCCCAGAAAACTCAGACTCACTAAAAATACTGGTTTGTTCCTAGGAAAAATTTATTTACTATGATTGGAAAATAAGAACAATGAGCAAAATTAACTGTGAAATTCTACCTCAGTTTTGCAGGGTCAGGCTATGTTCTCGTTATCTGAAGCATGGATACTTATTCAGATTGAACTTAGAAACACTTTGAGGGTCTCCCCTCTCCCGCCTGCTGAAGGTGCTGATCAGTCTGCTCACGTGTTCTCAGACTAACATATTTCCCTGTTACCTCCAATGCAAAAAGAGAAGGTGTCTTCTTACTGAGTTCTAAGTTTGAATATTTAAGGAACATCTAAATTTGCTCCTGTCAAAACCCCATCTGTGGAAGTGCTCAACATATCTTTAAATGATGAATAAATCTGCACCGTAATTTGCACATTGAACACCACAGAAAGAAGACACATTGTTAGCATAATTATCACGCTGCTGAACAGCAAGTACAAAGAGAACAAGATTTTACTGGGGCTGAAATCACACAGTTCAGATATATATTAGATCACCAAATCCACTGTCTTTCCAGAACAAACTAGCTCTTCATGGCATATTCTCTGATGTGCTGTTCAATTTAGTTTCCACAATCTCTGCTGAACCCATGACTGCTCCTTTGAAGTAGTTGATTTTTATTTTCATTTTATTTTTTTTTAAATTTCATTCTTTTATCTAGTCATATCTCCACAGATCCACTGTGAGTTTTTTTCAGCATTTCACAATAATGTAAACCAAACACTACATGAAAACCCCTATCTTACTGGTTCCTTTTTCCAAGGTTAAGATCTATTGAAGAATATTAAGTTCATCCTAATTGTACAGTTTTCATTTTCTTCTATATTAAGGGCAGAGGGAATAGAAGAGGAAATTGCTAACTGCAAAGCAACATAACTGTGAAAAACATCCAGAGACTTCAACATAAAGCAGTAAAGTAAGAGGGCACCTTGCAAGTGAAATATGTTATTGGTCTATTCAGTGGTTTGGGTTTGCTCCACAGCTTCTTAGAAGCCAGCAGCAGAAGAAATGATGTAAAGCTACATGAAATCTGTTAACTTCCCTCTCACTGCTGTTTGCTTTTGTTTTACTGTGTAGTGCATTTAGAAGCCAAAAACATGAACCTGGGATTACAGGACAATTTAGAGCCACAGGAAATGGAACATTAACAGTCTGTTATTTAATTAAGTAATAAATAACAGAGAGTAACCTGGATAGTAAAACATCAGTAACGACAAAATAAACTTATATTAATAAATGATACATCGACTGAGCTGTGACCTCTTTCAATAAAAGCTCAGGAACAAACATGGCCTAGAAGAGATGAGAGAATTTTCAGAGATTTAGACTGGGAATATTCAACTCTGGATTGAAACAGGAAATGAATGGGGTGCATTTCCAATGGGCGTGTTTTTTTCTCTTCTAGGGCAGATGATATGTGTCTTTGTTGTTCACTTAACTACCCCGGATGCTTTAGGCAGCATAGGCAGGTTGCAGAGCCACCCTGCTCTGCCGGGGACCGCCAGCACTTGGAGCTCTTAGTCCTGCCGCGAGACAAGCGGGTGCCTCTCCCAAGTGGGGTAAATGTGAAGGAAATGGAATAACATCAGTGAAAATTACCTAAGGAGAGATTTCAGCCCCACAGATCTGCCGGTCTGCGGAACAGCTAAATATCTTTTAGGGTGATGTTGAATAATGAAGCAAAGCAGCACAAGACGAGGTAGATCCCACTGAAACCCTAGTGCAGAGCATGAAGTGGGGTGTTTTGCTAACTGGATAACTTTCTGAAAACAGATTAAATAATTGAAGCTTCTAAACAAATTCAAACTCAGTTTAAAGCTACACATTTGTAGTGGTGCCGACAACTGCCAATGGGATAATGCACATGGAGACGTAACACCATGCAGAAGTTAAGGGCATAAACAGCAGGCAGACCCCTCAGTAGATGCTATGACTCAAGATCATGACATATTCCATATTACCTCACCTCAAGATGGGATGTCTTTCAAAGGGCAATTCTGTACCTCATGAAGAAGCTATAAGCAGGACAATCTTGTTACTGGGAGGTGCTCTGGGGACTGCAAAGTCAGTAGTTGAAATCCTAACTTCTTAAATTCCCTACCTGAAACTCTCGGGCTATGGCCTGGTTCTCAGTCCTGTTTATGTATATTTTCACAAATAATTATAATCAAAACTTTTAAAATGCCATATGGAATCAGAGATCCTCCTCATCATTAAATGTAATAAAAGTATGTGGCCTGCTTGTGAATCAAATTACAATTACAGCATTTTCAGTTCATTCCTGACTTGTCTAGTAAAAGGCATTTCAACTAAATTTCAGAAAGAAAATATCTGGTAAGCATTTCAGTGAAGAGTTGGGTTCCTTTCTTAATGAAGCATCACGCAATTACTTAATCCACTCAGAACTGTTTAGAATGAATGCTCAATAGGAAAAAAACAAAATGCTTAAAAAATACATTTGAAATGTTGCCAGGACATACAATTGTACTAACTCCGTTACGATAGCCTGTAGCACGGTATTATGAAGACAAATGGATGAGTGTTGTTTGTAATCATTAGGGTTTTCCAGAAGATTAAACATATGAAAGCAAAGCTTCCTAAGTAATTCCCTAGGAGATTTCATGATATCACAGAGCAGGTTCAAAAGCAACAGCTGATCTAATTCCAAAAGCTCTTAAACTCACTGTACATTCCAGTGTATTCTTCCTGGTATTTTCGTAAGCTTGTTTTCTTCAGCCTCTGAAATGCAAAGCATAGGGCAGAACAGCAGGCTGCAGCGCAAAGCTTGAATGAACAGACTTGAGCCAGAGATCTGTGAGGAATCCAGGCAATTTAACCCTCCCGATCACGCTGGAGCACTAGCACTTAGTCACCGTGCTGGTAACTCCTGCACACGGAGGCTTTTGTCTGTGTTCTCCACAGCATCTTCATCTTCAGGATCTATTTGCCCCTCTCGGTTTCTGTCACCGTCCTTGTGTTCCTCCTCCTCTCCCCGCCTGGCAGCTGAGCAGCGGTATCCCCACGCGGGAATCATTTCTGGGCACGCCAGGGTGCCAAGACGCCAGGTTGAAATCTGTCCTCGCTATCACCTACTTTTCCATCCTACTGTTTGTTCCGTGCAAGGTTCAATTCTGCTCTTATTTATCAGGAAGAGTGACTGCAAGCACATTCAAAGATATCCCATAAGCAATTCCCAGATATTTACTTGCATCTCTAAAACAAATGGGGAAACCAGAGGTAAAAACTATTTTTATCTACACAGCAAAGACTGGATAAACACCAGGCTAGGTCCTCAGCTTGTGTGAAATAGCAAATTCATGTTGACCTCTATCCATGTCAGTCCAATCATGTTAATTTATATTCACTAAGAATCTAGCCCTGACCTCTGTATTATATTAAGTGAAAACCATTATGAGGGCCTGTCAGTCAGACACAATAGCCTATCTCAGATCCTTGATCAAACTTCTTGGATTTTGCTGAGGTTGATAAATTCCTGCATCAAATTTCAGGGTCAAAGTGACAGTACAATTCTTACTTCTGCAAACCGTTTGTCCAGGTTCTTCAGCAAATTACTGAAAAAAGGGATCGACAGCAGCCATATCCTTCAGGGAAGTCTTAGAGCCCATCCTTTTATGGCACAATCTTGATTTGTTCAAACCACACAACTGTATTACAAGCAATTGTATTATTTTATTTGGTTGGAGGCAAGGGTGTTGCTCAAACTCACTCCACAATGTAGCACTGCCATGTATAATGTCACAGATCCTGTTTCTTATACGCAAGAAAATGTTCTGAGATAAACAAATCTTCTATATTGTTGCTATGGATTATTAAGGAAAAGGAGTTACAAGATCAGCTATACTTTGCTTTTAGACTGGAGTTAATTTCTGGAGCAGAAGAATTTTATAAGCAGAAGGCATTAATATAATCTTAAAAGAAGTGATTTTCTGTCTTTTTTTTTTAATAATTGCTTCTGTTCAGGCCTGGTATGTCAGTTAAACAATTTATTCTAAGGATATTCTCAGATGTTCCATCATTTATTCCATGTTGACTAGGCAGGTGGCCTGAAAGACCTGATAAATGTACTAACTTCAGACACAGGAAACTATACCATGGATAACTGCTTCTTTAATAGGATGAAAAACCCATGTAAGAAATAAAATACATCATCTGAATCTCTGCTACCCAGGCCACCTGCAAGTGATAATGTTTGTATGAATTTTAATTAGAGAAACAACATTTTCTTGCAATATCTCCTTGCCCTTTCCAAGCAACAGAGCTGAATAGTTAAAGTTGCTATGGTTACAATGGGTTGTGGCAGACTGTGGATCATCGTGATGGTGACATATTTGCACATAAAGAACAAAGGCTGCATCTTTCCATTACAGCCAGATGATTTTAGTCCTAAGTATTTCTAAGAATTTAAATCAATTGATGCAACTTGGAATATAACAGTCACACTAGGTGAAGAAAAAAAAGAGAATCTCATGGTAATTTAACTCCTCAGTTTAAAATAAGTTCCTTTGCTACAAAGCATTATTCTAGTTAGAAGTTTATTTTAAGAAAATAAATAGCAACTTTTCAACAACCCATATAGAACAGGAGTTTTTATATAGGCTTTAGAAAGAATGCCAAGCTTTTGCCTTGGCTCCTGAGATATTAAAGGCACAGTCTGTTTCTCATGAATGAAGAGCAAAGAACTGGCTGAGATTCGTACTCTCTCCCAGTTTTTGTCCATTCTATTTGCAAATGTAGCAACTGAGCCTTCCCACTGCACTGTGCAACTACTTTTCATTATACATTGGCATCATATCCACTAGAATACTTAGCGACTTCCATTTAGAGTCAGCCAAGTCCCCTCTTTTGATCCAAGGCAGTTGTTAACTTTTCAAAGTATTTCTTTATATGAAAAAAATAAAAGAGAAACCCTTGAATCAAAACATTTCAGTGGAATCCTGTGCGACAATGATTCGTAAGAAAAAAACAAATCAATAGGTGTGTACAGTATAGAAAGAGGGAGGGTGTGTCTGTGCTTGTGTGCATTCTAGCTTGCACATGTTTTCATCCAACTAATTTCAAGGGTTAAGAGCAAGATAGTGCACTAAAGTGAATCCAGATGGGCCAATACTAATATCTTTCTTTTCCTGATGAATGAGAAGGTATGACCTAGTTACAAAACTGCTAAAATTACAGGCGCCACAGAGGCTTCAGCTGGTGCCCTACCACATAGATATTTATCCTTACCTCTGCAATTATAATGCTGATGAGCTGCTCGAACCTGCTGAAGGAGACGTTCCAGGGCCTCAGTGTGTCCCCTGTGCCGAGGTTCTCTTCCACTGCAGTCTTTCCAGTCTATTGAACAAAGGAAATAAACAGAAATGAAACACAAATGAGCAAGAGAGGGTTTTAAAAATATTTTCTCGCCGCTGCTATTTCTTGGCTTCAGAGGAGTCTTATATCTGGGCATGCAGCAAAAAAATGGCAGTTGTTTTTAAGAGGGCTGTTGTTACTTCTACAATAAGCTTCTTCTGCCTCATGCCAGAGAGGTAATTAATCATAATGATTGCTAACAAAGAGCTCATGATCGGCTCCCAGAAACTCCTGTAGTGACTGGCTAGACAACATCTATTTCTCTTGGGCCCGTGAACGGCCCCTGTTCCTGCAGTGTCAGAGCTGCTCTGAGCCACCAGCGCCCTGACCCTGGCAGTACCTCGTGGAGGTACCGGAGGTACCGGTGCTGCTGCCGCCACCTTTCACCGAGGCCCCGGGAGGCTAAATGACTCTCCTGCAGTTATGCAGGAAACCCATTGTGAAGCAGAGAATGAGCATCTTCCTAGGGCCAGAGCCCGCTCTGCAGGCACACGGAGAGGTTCTGAATAAAAGCACTTTTGGAAACCTGCTCCAGCAAAGAGCACTGACCGCTGGCAGTGCTGCCCTCGGGTTTGCCGGCTGCTCAGCACTGCACTCATGAGGCAAGAAGCTGCCGTTTCCGTCCCGCATCCCTTCAACCTACAAAAGACTCTGTTTTCATTCTTGTTGGATTCTAGTTACAATCTTAACCTTAAGAAAAAAAAAGAGAAAAAGAAAAGGAAAAAAAAAGCAGCAGACAACCCTATCACAGCTGGAGGCATGTAACTGCATCTCAGAGAGTTTTCTAATTCCAGTTTTGGCTGTTTTTACATTTTTATTATAATGAGAAAAAAAAATCCCACCACAATTTGCTAGCCTAAGCAGTGGTGGCTGATGAGGGTATCAGGAGATGTGTCTGCGGGCCGAGCAGCCCTGCCTCCCCTCGCTGGCACCGTGGCCGTGGCCCTGGCCCTGCTCACCGGCACCCCGAGCTCTTTGCTTGCTCACTCACCCAGCTCAGGTTGCAGCCCAATCAAACACTCCTTCCAGCGAGCTCATTAGGCCAGCAGTATAAAAGGGTGGGAAGAGAAGGCAAAGGATGCTCTGGTAGCCTGTGGCACTCAAACAGCTGCACAGTGTCTGTCCTGCATAGGCTACTGCAGAGCTCAAGAGTCAGCTGCATTATCGCTCTGTGTGGGGATGTCTGTTCTCAGCTCTCCTCTGTGCAGTCAAGAAGTATGATCTGGAAATCACCAACCCCAAAGCAGTTTGGGGAGAGGAAGCAGTAACACTTAGAAGGCGATTTTCTAACCTCCAGGCTCCCAGATTTTTTGAACCTGCAGATTGCCGACTACCTTTCAAGTGACATGGAAATCAGACCAGCCCTCTTCATGGCCATCGCTTACACGCTCATCAAGGGGCCTACAAATTTTCCTCTCTTCCATGGTTTCCTGGAGCAGCTGCACAGCACCGGCCACAGCTTCTTGGGCTGCTGGAGTCCATGTGTGGGAAACAGGCAGGCAGTGGCAAGTGCTCACTGGTTTTGTGCTGCAAAGATGCATCTCCAAGGATGTCACTGAGCGTTGATGCTCTCAGATTGGAATAGATCAGCTTTAAGCCTTGCAGCTTTCATTTCCCTTGCATATTCTTCTGGCTGCCATTACACTGTTGTAGAGTGTTAATTTATTTCCATTTAATTTTTAGCTTAGGGCCACATTCTGTTATGCAACACCAGTGTAATTTCAGGTTGTTTTCTTCTTGCCAAGCACAGTCTGTTTGATAGCTTTCAAAACCAATGGTGAAGGCAGCCATGTGGATAAACTCTGTCCCCAGTAACTGCATCAGTAAATAGCATCTTGTCGCCCAAGCTAAAATTGTGATACTAGTATTACTTAGTTAAAATAATTTACATTTAGGCTCTGAGAGTCTCGTTTGCTGTTAAACGTAAGCATGTGTCACTAAGCATACTTAATGAAAACACCACATTCTTGCCAGCTATATGCAGTGAGAGCTGAGCCTGCCTAATGCCTCAGTATTCACCAACAAAGAACACATACACATAGAGCCATGAAGCAACACTGCTCTTTGCCACAAACTCTCCAAAGTTCCCATGCGTATGAACAGATGCTCCTGTTCTCCCTCAAGGAAATCCAAGACTCCTTTTATTACCTTGCTTACCTTTCAGAAAGCACCACCACACTCATGGTCCAAAGGGCTTCAGCAGTACTCTAATGGATGCTATAGGCCCCAAAGTTGGGGACTTCTTGAGTTCTGAGCAGCTGCGTGTGACAACGTGGCCCTAGTTCTGACAAGTCTAGGACTTTTTCACAGAGCCCAGAATCCCTGAGACACTAAACATGGAAAAATGAACTTCATTCTCTAGACAGTTCTTGTGTAGATCCATTGGAATCTGCAGGAAAACCTCCCCTACTTCCCAATGCTTTGGACCTGGTCGATATTGTCAGACTCCAAAAGATTAGAAGCAAGCAGGAAAGAAGCAGGCAGGGAAGACAGTGCAGTAGGTTCAAAACAAAGTTTCTTATCGTACAAAGCTATAGTCTTAAATGCTGTATGTTTTGCCAGGAGTGCCTTTGATGCTTCTGATATTTATCGTGATATTTAGCTGACTAACAAGCAACTACTGTAAAACAGTCTTGTTTCTCAGCTGATGGAAATTTTTGGTTTGTGGGGCCAAATCCTGTGCAGTTACACTTGTATAAGGTCAAGGTAATTGCATGTCAGTGAGTTAATCAAAACAAGTTCATGCTAGTGAGTCATCACATAATCAAGATTAGAATTTTGTCCCAGGACTGTGGTGTATTTTTGTTCTCAAATAGATTTCTTTGATAAATTTCTTGGGTATGGGAGAACAAAATTTGAAACAAAACAGGACAATAGTACTGCCACAGCCTCATTTATCCAACCCTCTCCATTACCACTACTGAGAGAGAGCACAGCTTGCTTTATTTTCTCACATTAGCAATGAAGGTTATTAAATTGTTACATTAGTCTAATAAAAACAAGTGCTAATGCAATAAAATAAAAAGAAAAAAATGCCCACTTTACTGCGCTAATCAATATAAGGGAAGCTGTAACATGCCTAACTAGTTCAGTGAACACTAAGGCTAGAAGAGTGACTAACAACAGAATGTGATTTCACAGATCAGAAAAAGCAGGAGAAATCATAGTCCCAGTGATTTAGAGAAAGCCTATCAGAGGTGTGTAAAGAAGGAAGGCTTTTGGACATGTCTTGAATATTTTATTGCTTCAGGGCTAATCCTACCAGAAAGCAACATGAGGTTACTCATGTTGGATGCATCCCTCAACTTCAGCAGGAACTAACATCTGCAGAACTGGCCAGGGAATGCTATCTATAATACCACAAACCAAGCTCAAAATAGCAGAACTTTATTTGAGAAATGAAGGTCAAAATCATTCTAATTTTTCTTCAATGTTTGTGTACAGTTCTAAATAAACATCATTTGTTCATCAAAACATTGAAGAAGAATAAAAGAAAAGGCAAATTAATATGCATATGTAATTATTTTGCTTATTTTGGTGGGAGGACAGAAATGAGTTTTATTTACTTAACATGCCAATAAAATTTATCAGACTCCATAATACTTGACTTTTTTTTCTCGGTGAAGAGCAAAATTAGGTGGGTACACAAACTCAACCTACTTGAAGGAGAAGCATATACAGGAGTAGATTTGCGTGGAGGTCCCCATCCTCTCATGTTGTATGCGGAAACATGGACATAATATCTCTGGCCCTGCAAATGGAAACAAGGGAAATAAAAACCAGTGCTGGCCTTGAAATCTTAACTATAATAACTAGATAGTTGTCTTTCCCGAAGTTTTTTTTTTCAAATCTCGTAAGTAGCTTTCAGTTGTGTCAACAGATGCCTCATGATGGATTGAAACATAATTCACAGATCTGAGAACAGGTGATTTGCTGAGATTTAGCAGAGTGCATCAATGCCAACTGAGGAACTGCAGTCTCCTCTACTGAAGCAAACCACTGGGAACTCTTACAATCAGGCATAAAGAATAACAAATTCCCCTCTCCCCTGTAGTATCTGACAGGGTCCATGTGCCAACACAGAGACTGAAGAAGCTTCATTTGGCTGCCACTAAAGTTGGTCAGACATTTATTACAAATTTTGATGTGTAAATCTAGGCCAATGAAGAATGTGTGCAAAAAACCCAGGTTTTCATTTTAAAATGGAAAGGATTTCAACTCAAGATCAAAGCCAATCACGTAAATCCCCATGTTTTGGGGCAGTAAAAAACAATTATACAGAAAGAATAAACGAAAACAAAAATGACTTCTCTTAATGTATCTTGTTCTTGGAAGAAGAAGAAGGGAATAAATCTTAGCTATTGGTCATCAGAGTCAGGACTCAAGGGCGTTTGATTTGCGCTAGGACTATCCTATGATCCAGACTCCAACAACTTTCATTCCAGTCTCTTCCTGATATGACAACTTATAAAACAGTTCATGCTGTCTGTCTATTCCTCTGCGACTTCCAGATTATGGATACCAGACCTATTATGCTTAATGACTGGAACGTATTGTTAGAGAAATGGCATTCTGCAGTTATTACCAATAGGCATGGATGCAAATATCTGTCTTGCATCACTAGTTGGGGGGGAATTGAGACCTAAATGAAAGATTTGACACTTACTGTTCGGAGACCTGTGATGGTACACCTCAAAGACTGAAGATTATCGATAATTATTTCACCAACCAAAGGACAAAAGTCTTCTGAACAGCTCCATTCCACTAAGAAGCAAATAAAAAGAGAAAATTAAACTAGGTATCTGTCCAAGCAATGGATTACTTGGACCTTACTTTAACCACTTTACAGATTTTCCATGTGAAAATGTTTAAAGTTAACATAGTATTTAGTGAAATTTTGTTCAGTAATTAACTTATGGTTGAATGTGTGTGAGAGAGAGAAAAAAAATATTGTTCAAATCTTTTAAAAAAGTATGCATAAAAATGCAGTGGCATCGAATTATTTTCTATCATTTGCCCTCATTTAAGCAACTGCCTTTTAAAGAAAGTGAAGTGGAAAAATATTGAGGATTTGGACCTGCTAATGATGTTGGGTAGTTTAGACACCCAGACCAACACTGAGTGCTGTTCTGCAATCCAATCTGCATGGGAGGCTCGGGCACTTGCAGAGAGCCCTTTGGGTTCCCCCGTGCTGCAGAACTCTCATCACGTCACACAGCCTTGCCTATTCCTTATAGAAATATCCGCCCTGGTCCAGATCTGGCACTCACTAAAGTCTCTTCGCTGGTCACAGTGGGCTCTGGCTCTGTAGTCCATGTTCTGTTCTGCTGTGGTCACTGAAATTACAGAGCTCCACAAGGACCTATTAAGTTTATCCACTTTCAAATTGAATTAACTGGCCCTAGGCTGACACATCCCTCCCAACCAGTCCCGAGGCCAGCCCTGCAGTCTGAAATACAAAGGGAACCTTTACCAAAGTGCTCCCATCAACCTGCAGAACCCGCTCATGTTCCTGCTTAAGAGGCTATGAAATTAGCCCCCTGCCGTAAGTATGGCTCCTCATTACCTTAAAAATCAACGTGAATGTAAAATGTATCAAACAGACCTTGAGGAACTACAGGATCATTAAAAAAAAAAAAAGAATATATGCAAGCAGGGAAAGGAGAATGGCCTCTTCTTCTTAAATTATATTTTAGAAATGACAGGTACCATGATTAGATCTAAGGTTAATCCCACAGTCATACCTTTGGGATTTAATAACTTGTTCCTTTAAACACTCTTCAGGTTCAGGCTTTCAGACAAACCTATCAAAAATGTAGCAAAATAATCTCTAAATTGTTCTACTACAAACATGGGAAAATACCATCAATCTTTTGGATTTGCACCAAAATAATTGGTGAAGAATTGAGCTCAAAACTTCTTCTTTAAGATACATAAAATAGGTTAGAGATTTATTTATTTATGTACTGGCATTAGAGAAAACATTTTAGACTACATAACAAGGCATGCATGTGAAAGCTTCACCTTCTCACTCTGAAAGCTCATTGTTTTTTACTACTATTTTCATATTAAAAGGTCTCACAGATTTTTTTTCCCAGCATCTACAGCATTTATATAAAAATGCTGAAGTACCAACAGCGCAGCTCATTTTTCCTTTCTCTACCACTCCCCTTCTGTGATTTTGCTTTGTGAATGCACAGTATGTTCTTCCATATTTTCTGCAAAGGAACATGATACTGTTTTTGTCTATTGTCTTTGAACTTTCTCAGTGTAAGATTCTGTAGTTTTCCATAGGTTTTTAAATACCCAATTACCGCCACGTTTAATGGCAGCTATCTCTATACATCAATATGAATATGTAGAAATTGCTACTGTACCATGTTGTAGAGATTTTGTTGTAGACTTCATTATAACAGTGCTTAAAAGTACTATTAAACTTGATGGTCTGTCAGAGTTTCCATTGTAAACCACGATTTTCAGGGTTTTATAACTGCAGTGTATTAAATCACGGAGGACATTGTACACATGCTGCTAACTGTGATAGCTCTCCGTTTTCCAAAAGGACAAAGAAGCCTTTCTTGAGCTGCTGAATGTTACTGACAGACTGGCAGTCACGCCAGGTGCCATTTGTCTTTTCAAGGAGTCATGTAAAGCAAGGTAGTGTCATCCCAAAGAGATTCACCGGCAAATCCTATTTGTTCAGTGCCATCCGTGGGCGCCCTGAGTGGTGACCCAGTACTCAGCGTGGGTGCCAGGCGCAGCCCAGAACAAGAGGCGAAGGAGCAAGAAGGAAGCAGCTTTAAATCACATTTGAGCTTCTCTAATTTTCTATTTTTTTCTGTTCTGTGGACTGCGGAGTACCCAGACACAAACTGGGAGTTCAAGAAGCGTATTTATGTGAGGGTAGTTTACACAAATAATTCTATCCTCTAAGCATCTACCAGGAAACACTGCTGCCCTATGCTTGACACATCATCTTAGCCCTTCCACTTCTACACCTGTGTTTTAGAGAAGCGCTCTGAATATTCACGGACCCTAATACGTTAATTAAGCTGGTACCTGTAGAAAACTACACACCCATGGTCTTTATCCTTACAATGAACCTAGATGTAACATGATGTCACTTTGCGCATAAGCCAATCCAGCATTAAGGCACTGACAAATCTTTGCCCACTTTTCAAGAGAGTGAAGTCTGGGAGAGACAAAAGTGGTAGCAAAATAAAAAGATGTACAATTCCTGTGATTTTGAAGTTCTTGGCCCTTTAAGTAAGAACAAAAGGCCGTCTAGAAAGGCTAAAAAGATTCATCCTTTTAGAAACTTGATATAAAAATCCTCAAGCATGAAAACTTGAAGCTGTAGAAGGTCCTTTGTAAGAGCCCAGGAACAAGGGCTGGTCTTGCAGACTGAACCGACTGTGCTGCGAAGGGCCTGGGAGCTGTGGGTGAGTTAAGGATGGCGCATGGTCCCAAGCTGCTCGGGCACCCGACAGGCCGCCTTTGTCTTGAACGCTGAATGTGTCCGCTGTTGCGGCTTTCCATCTGACACTTCACGTTATGTCAGAGCGAGGGGGGTTTCTTGTGTGTTTAATATATTGGTGACTATGTGTTTTAATGAAGGTGCCCTGTATTCCAGAGCTAGCGAATGCACGATGTGTTGCTGCGGTCGCCAAGATAAGTAGTAATTTTTAAATAAACAGCAGTATAAACAGTTACATAAAACTCATGTAAATTGCTGGCACATAATTTTAGACTGGCTTCAGTTATGTAACTTACTTCTGGCCAAGTTTTTTTTTTTTTTTTTTAAAATCTCAATTCGTACACTTAAAAATAAAGGGACAAGCTTCTTTTCACCTGTTTCTTTTCCACTCTCAGTCTTTCTGGTATCCTGACCACACCGTCAGCAGTTCACCAGAGACAGATGGACAGACAAGGGACGAAGGGAAGGTCCAAACACCTCCCGCCCTTACTGTACATCCACTTGGGAAAGGCCCATCGTCCTCTAAGCCAACAGCAGAAGCCACAAAAGAATTTGCCGTGTTTGTTTTCCCTTGTGCTTCAATCACCCCCTGAATTGCTGTGCAGATTCATTAGATTAAGGGACACGACTTACGCCGCCCAACTGGTGGGGATGTCTGCGCAGTGCGCTGGGCTGGGCTCTGGGTTTGAGTCCTTCGGGATCCTGCAGCAAAGACTTTCTCTCTTTCCTTTGCTCAAGGACATGTGATCTTAGTGAGTGTTTCCAAGGACTTTCAAAAAAATAATAATTACACTGTTCTGCAGCCTCCTTTGAAATGTAAAACCAAGAGCCCTTAAACCAGAAACCTCTTTAAAAACATCTTTTTCTCTCTGCTGATCTTTAAAAAATGATTACAATAATTTACACTCGTAGTGTCTTAGCAGTTTGATTCAAGGACATCAAACATTGTCATTTATGTGAATAAAGGCAAGATGAAAGTTCCTAAATTTAGATTAGAAGTATAACTCTAGTGGAGAGGCCCATGAAGCTGACCACCCACATAATGCAGTATTAATAGTTAATATAACTGTAAAAGTGCTGAATTTTGGACTTGACAAGACTTTAGGACAGCCAGTGCCAGACAGAACAGGCGTACAGACCTTGTCTATGCTGGAGAAATTTCTCTCATTATCACCAGTTGAACTAATAAACTACTCTTCCAGTAGTTCTACTCATAAGAAAGACAATGCGAGGTTTTAGGGTAGTTCCACCTGCACAAGCAGTGGCACAATTCATTTCACACAAGGCTTTCAAAATGAACCTGAACCTCTGATGCTCCCTACGTGGCATTATAATCCCATTTGTGACAACTGTGGTCCCTCTGGAGTTAAGTGACTTGCCAGGGCTCTCACAGCAAGCTACCTTCACATACCAGAGCTGAAAGCAGCACTCCTGGTTCATACCATCTTCCCCAGCTACTGCACAATAATATCCAAATTAGACAACAGCTTTTCCTCTCCCTTTTCCTTATATCCTGAAGCAGTCGTAACAATGAGCACACTGCACTGAAAATCAAATGCTTGAATTACGATCATTAATAACATACAAGGAGGATCTTGGAAAATTCCTAGTTTCACCAAACTACTGCGTCACTCCCTTTATGATTTTGTTCTGATAGTTTTGGGGGGTACAGAGAACAACTACATGATTAGATGGACAAACTCCCGTCCACAGCTGCCTAGCAATTCAAGACCTAGATGACAAGTCAGTCCTGGGTTCTACTTACACCATATCCACCATTTCCTGAGCTCAGCAAGACTCTGTATTGAAGAAAGATAAACAGGAATTGGCAGAGTGTCTCAGGTGGCAAAGATAACAGCTCATTCTGCAGCACTCAAATAGTAATCAGCGGTACGAAGAAAATCCAGGGTTTCTTTCATCCCAGTATCACCTATACTAAATCACTGCATAGCCTGTTTTAGATCACTGTACTAACAAAAGCTAAACAGGTTTCCCTAAAGATACTGTTGCCAAATCTTGGTCTGTGGACTACTGTTTCTCTGAAAGACGCATTTTGCAATTCAGATTATGAAGTCTTTCCTTAATGCAGCCTAGAAGAGACTGCTCAAGATCAGTTCGTTGGTTCACACAGCAGCAGTATCTCAGATGGAGAACAGAGATGACTGAAGAAGTTTGCATTTTTTCATTTGTTTTTTGCAAATCTGGGTTCTGGCTCTGTTAGCATCTCTCATGCTTGGAAGTTCTCCAAGGAATGATAGTAGCAAGAGGAGCCGCAGCAGCTGCACGG